CAGCTGACTGACATGAACCTAATGACAGGACAGGGGAAGTGAAACTAAATACAATGAACAAAGAACACACGACTCCTTCAAAATAAAACAGGAAACACTGAAACTAGACATGACAACACAAGCTTAACAGACCTAACACGTGATGAACGATACAAGAACTCAAAAATAGAAACCAAGGAAACAATAAATAATAACTGCCTTTCCTTAACTAAAGCTAAATAGGAATGACACAAACTAATCACATATCTAAAATGAGACAAATACAAAATGAACTCAGAGCGCTGGGTCAGAGACCCAGCCTGTGACACAGATATTTTAATTTGTAAGTTGTTTTTTTTCTTTCAGCAGCTCAAATGTTTGCTTTCGCTCAGGTTTAGTGGCTGACCTCGCTGCACCTGAAAAGTAAGCAGGTCAGTGACACGTGTGCAAACCTCACTAACCCACATACAGCCCACTTCCACCTCCATTGGGCTGAACCAGTGAGGCCGCCCTTCGTGTTAGTGTGGATCACAGTTAATGTGAGCGCTGGTGGGGGGGGTAATCTGTGAGGAAAACTAAAAGCTGTGCGATACAGTCAAAACTCACACATCGATGTCATCACATGCATTTTCCAAAGATGTTCAGCGGGCCACACTGGTGTCTTTACGAGGTCCATTCTTTTCTTTGTGTTTTGCATTTCCCTGATGTAGACAGATGTGAGAGAGGTTGATGGTGAGCAGATGTCTTCTTCCTGTGTCGCACTAACACAGGAAGCATGAAAGAAGAAGCCAAACCTCTGACATTAGTCAGTCTGAGCAGCGCCTCACAACTGGCAGAGCAGCAGCCCTGAAGCCCGTCTGACAGGCACCGGCGAGTGGAAGCGCTCCTATCTCTGTCATCGCTCCGAGCTGAAAGGTGAGTGTGTCTGCCGTTTCTACCTGAAGCTCCTCGTCAGCTTCAGGGTCGCCTGGGAGATTCTGGCTTGGCCGTTAAGGGCGAGCGCCACAGAAGGTTTCCTTCCTGCGAGCCTGACGTCTGCTCTCGCTGGTGTCGATTAAAAGCAGCTGGAGGCCATCTTTGTAAACCTGCTGAGAACATCTGCAGGGTTTGCTCCTTCTTTCACACTTCATCATCAGCCAGCTGTGTGTGATCGCACCATCTTTAATCTGAGATCAGGTTCAAACCAGTTTGAGCTGCAGTGGCAGGAAACAGCTGAGGGCGGGGCATGCTGACATTCCCGACTCCTGATTGGTGTCGGGGGTGTCCACTGCTTCTGCGTTTTGTTTGTTTTGTGCAGGCCGAGTAAACGAGAACAGCCTGTGAAAGATAAGTCGTGTGCGAGTTGAGGCACCTTTAGGCTCCGCCTTGCTGGCGTCTGCTTTTTGAAGATCTCTGTGAGTTTGGGACTGACGGCCGTGGACGGGATTTAAAGTTCCTTCCATCCATCCTGTATCCCAGCTGACCCACAGCCGAACTGGGTGATGATCCTGACCAGTTTAAAGAACATTAATGCAAACTGACCACACAGAACACGTTACCATCACATACACATCATACAGACTCTGTATGAACCCATGTTGTTCGTGCAGCAACAGGAAGTAGTTTTTATTGCAGAGTTCATAGAGGTCATGCTTGAATATTTGTGTTCGTTTGGGGAAGCCTTTTGCTCCTCCCCTTTCACAAAGGATGCTCCAGTGTGTCCTCTGCTAAAGGAAGTAAAGGAAGCACTGAAGTGCCTTTAGTCCATAACATGTGGAGAATTCAGACAGTGCTGATGAGGGCAGATACTTCCAGGTCACGCCTCCTTCCTGAACTAACCCCCGCCTCTTTCTGTGCCTCTGTCATAGTCGTCCATGTGTTTGTGGTGCACTGATTTATTACTGGAGATGTTTGCTAACACTGACTGTGTTTCACGTCGGCGCTCTCACAGTGTAAAGCTGGATCTGCGTCATCGCTTTACACCCGCGTGCGCTCATTACCCATGATGCATCAGAGTCTGATCACAGTGTTTTCTGATGCTAGCAGGAAGCCGAGATGACGGAGCCGGACCTCGTCAACATCCTGGAAGACATAACAGATGAGGAATTCAAGACCTTCAAGTGGAACCTGAAGAACGAGCGGTTTAGAGACATCGAGCCCATCAAAGTGACCCGGCTGTCGACGGCGGAGCGGTGCGACGCCGTGGATCTGATGGTGCAGAAGTATGACATGGACGGAGCCGTGCAGGTGATGGAGAGCATCTTTAAGAAGATCAACAGGAACGACCTGGTGAAGAAGCTGCGAAAGGTCATGGGTCAACCTGCAGGTCAGTGAGGCTGTGGGCAGGCGTGCACTTCCTTTAACCTGTTTGAGCATTTGACATTCAGGTGACATCATCAGGGTCAGAGCAGCGTCACGCTGTGACAGGACGTGCAAACAGGAAGTGTGTGCAGAGTGTCTCTCTCCCTTTTAAGGTGCATTCAGAGCAAACAGCTGATGGAAGGAGCCGCCCGAGTCGGAGCTGCTGGATTGGATGTTCTCAGGAACTCTGAGGCTCCCGTGGTCGGAGGTCTTCGGCCTCACTCTGACCTCGGCATTAATCCGTCCTCCTCTCTCTCACAGGTCTTCCAGGTCCCGATCTGCCAAAGACCGCCGCCGACTCCTCGGCAGAGGAGAAGTTGGCGGCCGTTCGCTCTCAGTTTATCGACAGAGTCTCCGAACCCGTCCTGAGGAAGCTGCTGGATAAACTCCTGGAGCGCCGCGTCATCATCGATGATGAAATGGATTTAGGCGGAGTGAGGAGCAGGGCGGATAAAGCCCGACAGGTGATCGACGTGGTGCGCAGAAAAGGATCCCAGGGCAGCTCGGCTCTGATCGCCGCTCTCTGTGAGGTGGATCCGTGCCTTTCACGGGAGCTGCAGCTGATGTGACGCACTGCCAGATGTTCAGCACTCACAGGAGAGCAAATTAGGAATCATCTGTAACACCCAGAAGCAGCTGATACAGTTCAATGTTCAATCCTCCAATCCACTTACAGAAACACGAGCGCGAGGCTCGTCTATTTGGTTTGGTTTTCACATCAAAGATTTTCACAGAGACGATTTTCTATGCGTCTTTATACAAACAAAGATGTTCAAACAGCAGAACATGTCAGAGTTTCAGCAGGTTTCAGGACTAAAGTGTCCCAGAAACAAGGCTTTGAGTCAAACCTGAACAGTCGGCTCTGTGAAAACCTTCAGGATGGATGGAAACCAAGATCTCTGACTTCCAGTCTGAGAACAAAACAATCAGGAAAATGACTTTATTTGTAGAATTTTCATCGGACACTGATGTTAACGAGAAGTTTATTAGATTTTATGGAAACATTTTAGAGCTGATTAGAATAAAAGTCCAACAGATTAATGAGGATTTTGGCTGTTTTCATGTTGTTGAAGTCAAACGTGTCAGAGAGCAGAGGGTCAGAGTTTCATGTTTCTTTCTGTAACTCTGATCAACGTGAAAATAAAAGATGAGTTTCCTGTCACTGTGTCTGGTGGTTTGGCTTTGTAACACACCTGTTCAGCTCCAATAAATGTTTGAGTTTTAAAAGAAGAAGCAGCAGGAAGACAACAAAAGAAGACTCTCAGAACTATCTACACTGATGAACTCTGTCTGAGTACCAGAGGTAAAACTCCAGTAAAGACCTGAGAGATGATCTGGACCTTCTGTCATGGCTGCCGATGGCAAGCCGTGTGGAGTTGGAAGAAGGACCCAAGATGCAGGCAGTGGATGAGATACCGGTGGTTTTATTTACAGAGGTGTAGTGGCAAACAAACAGTGGGGCATAACAAATAACTAAAGACACCTAAACTGGGAGGACTAAAAATAACAGACCTGGGAGCATACGACAACGGGATGAGAAGCAGAGAGACGAGGACCAGGACACCGTGGAACACAGGGTAACAGACTGACACGGAGTTACACAGACAAACCGGCAACAGGCAGGAGAACACACAGGGCTTAAATACACACACCAGTAATCAGGGGATGAGAGACAGGAGGGCAACACAGCTGGGAGGAATCTGGGCTGACGGGACAGGGGAAACGTAAACTGATCACACTCACATACGACACGGACCTTCACAATAAAACAGGAAACTCAGACACATGGAACCAGACAAGACATTGAACTAAACAGACAGATTCACAAACAGATGGGGTGACACCATAGACAGACAGATACAGACGCAGACTCAGAGAGTCACCTTTCTCACTCACTATGTATTAATAGACCTCTCTGCATTGAATCATATCTGTTATTAACCTCTGTCTCTCTTCCACAGCATGTCTTTATCCTGTCTTCCTTCTCTCACCCCAACCGGTCACAGCAGATGGCCCCGCCCCTCCCTGAGCCTGGTTCTGCCGGAGGTTTCTTCCTGTTAAAAGGGAGTTTTTCCTTCCCACTGTTGCCAAAGTGCTTGCTCATAGGGGGTCATATGATTGTTGGGTTTTTCTCTGTATCTATGAAGCGCCTTGAGGCGACTTATGTTGTGATTTGGCGCTATATAAATAAAATTGAATTGAATTGAATAGAGAGGGTGGCTGGTGATGTCACACTGAGTGGAGTTAGAGAGGAGGGACACAGGGTGAACAGGTATAAGAGTGAGGTGAAGAGGAGATTCAGAGTAACTGAACATGAAACACAGGGGAGCGCACCTCCTCATTCAGGTGATTCATCTGCAGTAGAACAGCATCACTAGCTCTCACAGGTTACTCCAGCCCTAGAGGAGCCCAAGTCACTGGATCAAATGCAAAAGTTTGAACATTCAAGTAAAGTGAAAGCAGCAACGTAAGGTTCACTATCGGTATGCACAGTGAACCAGTCAGCCAACCTCGTGATAAAAAAAGAAAACACTGATGGAAGTGGGTGTGGCTTAAATGAGCAGGCCCAGGTCCATCTGAGGATTATGGCAGAGGTCGGAGGGTCACTGCCAGATGGCTGTGCTGGAGGTAAGGACAATATTTGTGGTGCAAGAAAAGAACTGACATGGAGAAAGCAAAGATATGATCTGCAGAACTTCATACATGTTTATTGCAAACCAGTATGTACAGATAATATCGTGAAACTGACTAATTATAGACATGAACTGTTTGGAGGTTGATTTTTAAATATGCAAATGAGGCTTCATCTCGTTTAAGAAATACTCATTGGCATAACGTGGATTTTATCTGCTTTCATCCCTGCGCTGTAAGAGAAAACGTGTTGTGGAAGCAAATCTCCAAACTGAGCGTCTCACCTAACAATGACTTCTGGAAGACGTGCCCATCACATGACTGCACCTGAACACATGCTACAGGTTGTTTGGACCTGATCTTTGATCGGTCTGATTCTTGCTCTCTCAGTCAATATAAATATTTATTAATGCAAAGTTTATATTATTATTATTATTATTTATTTATTTATTTATTTTACAAATATAGAGCCTGACCACATTAAAAACTAAATCCATGACCCAGAATCATTTGGAGCCTCTTCCCGGCTCACGCTAATCCAAAAAATAAATGCTCATGCTGAGCCACAGTCATGTCTCTTATATCTAAAGTCACAAAATACCCTTTATATGTTAACATGAATAGATTTACTCTCCCTTTGTATTCTGTCTGGTGGTTTTTGGGGGGATCTTGGGGCCGTAGACCCAGAGAGTGATGTTCAGACCAACATCACTCCATCACTGTGAGACTGGAGCAAACAGAAATTTCAGGAAGCCAGTGTGGTGATGAGCTCGTTATCTGACACATGGGTGGTGTTTCATCTCAACATCAGAGACTATGACTTTACTCTTGTACCAGAAAACGAGAAAAAGCAGAACAGGTCCCCTTTGATTGTGACGTCACACTGCGTCGCTGTCCTGACACCATTGGCGCCCTCTGCAGGCTGCAGCGCTCAAAACTACACCTGATTGTGCTGCTAGAGAGAAAATGAGACCATCACCACCAAAGAAAATTATTTTCTGTCTGTCTACGACACTGTCCGAAAGACGAAGAGACGGATTTTAGAGCTTTTCCTAGTTTAGAGACAAAAAGTCAGTGAGATTCAGTGTGAGTCTGATCGTTATAGCAGGGCCACAAACATGCTGACATAAATGCCGAGTGACAGAAAACATCCAGAGGCTTGTCCTGTTAAATCCACCGTCGCCAGCTTCAGCACAGAGCGGCGGCTTGTGTTTGATAAGAGGCCGAAATGAGGATGAGAGGCGAGCAGGCGCCATATTTATCTCTATCTGCTGTCGGGACAACAGCCTCAGCTTCGGAGGATCTCTATTAGCACTGCTACGTGTTGGAAGAAGGTTGGCTAGCTACACCAGGTCTCCTGCAGCTCCTCTTGTTCTCGGTAAAATTCTTCTCTGTGGACAAAGGAGCTTGCAAAGAAAAGCGTCTGGACTTCTTTAAGTTGCTTGAAGACGTTTTTTTCTCTGTGGAGTAAATTTATCAAAACAAAACCACTGCAAACTTTGTCTTGCTCTCTAACTGCCTTTGTGCTTCACGTTCTCCATGTGCTTGATGATGCTGAGCTAGCCCGCTAACAGGTTAGCAGCTTCATAGGTGAAAACTGAGAAGGGCAAAAAACTATCAGGCTAATGGCTGAGTGGCTGGTTGCTAGCAGGCTAACAGGTTAGCGGGCCGATGGGCTCGCCGCTGTCATCAGGACATGATGCCAAACACGGGGTTGTGTCGACAGATGCTCGGCCCGATCTCGTCGTAGTCCTTCTTCGAGTGACACACCTGGAAAAACTCCGGCTGCAAACACAACACACAGTGTCAACAAAGGTTCCTGGTCTCTCCAGACAGGCCATCAGTTATAAACTGAATGCATATTTTATTCACTAAGACCTGAAACCATAAACTCGTCAGGAAAGAGTTTACTGAGCAGGCTCATTTCCTCCAGCCACATGTTGTTTAGGGAAATGCTTTGTGTGAAAGTAGAAGAACACAAAACTTTTGGTTACCGTGGACGCCAACATAGAGCCTCCGAACCAGACGGCGTAACGCTGCATGTGATGTGAGACGACCTGAACCTCCATCGGCTTCGGCTGCCAACACACAAAAACACGTCATCTGCATATAAATGATTCACATCACAAAGAAACTGGGAACAAACCAGTGATCCAGTTAAATGCCATCCAGGTAAAGGCTGTAACATTAAAGCTTAACTCTGCTCTGTGCTGTTATCAGCTGCACCAGGATCTGGTGACTATTAATCACAGGTGGCAAAACTACAGACAAGTACAAGTACAGAACCTACTGTTAAAAAATACTCCTGTAAGTTCAAGTACTGATTCAAATTCTTTACTCAAATAAAAGTGAAAAGTAACGGCTCTGAAACGTACTCAGAGGAAGAAAGTTCCTTGAAGAACATTTCTACCACATTTTTTATTAATGTAATAATTTTAACCTGAATTTTAATTCTAATAAATGTACTCAGCTTGAGTCAGGTAAGTAGAAGATGAGCAGGAGGGAAAATAAAAATATATTTATTTTTTCTGTTGCCTCCGTTGTAGAGGGAAGGACTTTGTTTCTAACCAGGAACACAAGCACAGTCAGAGGGTGAAGTGGATTCAGCAGGTGGGGAACCTAAAGTCAGCTGTCATGGCTCAGTGTGGGGAAAAGAACCAAACTCACAATCATTTCTACTGAGAGCTCCAGTAGATGTTCTTAGTGTGCAGGCTGTGATCAGCTGATCTGCTGCTCTCTGTGGATGTACACACCTGGATTCAACCAGATGTGAGCAGATGTTTCCTGAGTTGTCCTGGTTGATTTCATCCTCTACACTGACAGTTTATGCTATCTTTATATAAGACAGTCACTGTGCAGCAGTCACACGCTGGTCTTTACTTTAAAGCCATCACAGTACAAACTCACCTGTTTATGCTGCACTAACCTGCAGCCTTTAAATAACACAGTTAGTCTGCCTCAGCAGGTTTAACAACATGAGGACTTCTATGTGAGCTTTAAATGAGCACCCTTCCCTTTAACTCTAAGCTCTCTTCTTCCTCTCCTGTCCTTCTTTCTTATCTTTCTCCATCTCTGAATGAACTTAGCTCTCTGTCTTTTCTCTCCCAGTGAAACAAGCAGCTGGACCTTTAGCACACTGTGAGATAAACTGCACACAGACAGTTTGTGTGTTTGCTGATGTTTGTTAGCTGCATTTCAAATTACCTGACAGTACTAAAGTTTTGCTCGCTCCTCTTCAGTAGGGCTAGCTAAATGCTAAACATACGGAAACCTGCACTCCACTTTAAACCCAGAGTATAAACTACAGATAAACCTAAAGTCATGATCCTGTTCGAAAATGTAAGGAGTAGAAAGTACTCAGCTGAAAATTCTACTTAAGTACAAGGTATTTGCACTTTGTTAATTCCCACCTCTGCTATTAATAGGAAGGTGATTCCAGCTGGGACCACCATGGGACCAGCACTGATCTGGACTGTGGAGGAGCTCAGTGGGGACCAGTTTCAGCCTTTTGACTGAAAAGTTCCACACAAACAAAGAAAAGCTTTACCTGAAGCTGACCAATGTTAAAAACCTCTTCTTCCAGATGTGTTCAGGTCATAAAGGTCTGGATCGGCCTGCACTCGCTGGTCAGGCTCACCTTTATCCGTCCTCCGCTCAGCTCTTCGCTCAGCTTCAGCCGAGCGTCCAC